GATTAGTTTTTACTAAATAGATTTTATGGTTATACATTAGTATATATTTTTATTATAGTATATTATAGTTTTTCTTTTTCTCTTTTTTTATTATTTTATTTCGTTTATTAATTTGTTGCAGATATATAGATATTTTATACATAGATTTTTATCACACTCTTTGGATCCTACGACAATACACTATTAAAGCTACTGATTATTATTATCATTATCATTATTATTATTATTAAGTATTCTGACTCGATTAAGCGGTGACTGAAGAGCACTATGAATGAATGGCCATTTTGATTTGGAAGAGCATTAAATACGTACCGTATATAAAAACACGGTGGATTATAAAACTGGGAGGATGTTTGCGTTAGTAGACTGGTAAAATTTTAACGGGGAAACACTGGATTTTTACGGTTTTGCCGAAAACGAATATTAACCATGACTATCCAATTTCGTTAGTACAGGCATCGAAGGTCCTCGGAAAAGTCTTCTTTTTTTTAAAAAAAAAGTGGGGTTATTATGGAATTATCATCGTTGCCGTCAGTCGAAATCCGTAAAGTGATTGCCCATTAAACCGTTTTCTCCTTTGTTCTAGGCTACGTTTTAAGATTAAGATCGACAAAGGACATTGCCTCATGAATAACTCTCTGGTTTAAGACTTAAGGCTTATATTATTAAACTATAGACATCTCGTTTAATCGTCTCTCATGATGAACAGCGAAGTTTGGGAATTTGTCTAAATGCAATGATTAGTTGTACAATAGATCGTCAGCTGTTGTCCAACATCCTTTGGGATTTCATTCTAATGCGGGATGAGTTTGACGTTATGGCTTTGATAAACATCATACATCTTATTCTGGGTTTTACACGCAGTGCATTTATTAATTTTTGCTCTTATATATTAGTTCTTTGTTTACTGGAAAGCATCACTTCCAGCCACACCTAAAACGGATCTTAATATGGACTCAAAATCAAGGTTTGGGAAATTTGTGTTGATCACTGAGTGCAATTAAAGTAGGTAGTGCACAATAGATCGTCAGCTGTTGTCTAACGTCTTTGCGACTTTATGTAGGATAAGTTTGACGTTTTTATATCACTTGTAAATTAAGTTAATTGTCGTACCTCGCTCACAAATAATTTTGTCCCAACATATTGACCAACGTTTTGAACCAATATTTTGTTCCCACATTTAACCAAGCCACAATAACTGTTGGATTGATGTTGGCCCAAAAGTAGTTTTAGAAGACAATTGATGGACCACAAGAGGCTATTTTAGATCAAGCGCTCTGATGAGTTCGCACAAGCATATCACTGATACGGGTACATGTTGCAAAACTAACAGCCCTTTTTTTAAAAAGCTCTGAACATTCGTTGAGACTTCATTCTTTATGCAGATTACTTTATCTGTTTTGTATTCACACTGTTTCGCTATTTTAAATATGTTCCCTTGAAAATTAAAAAAAAAAAAGGAATTGTGGAGGATGATTCCATTCCAGTTGAAGATTGTCACTAGTCAGTTAGTTACAAAACAACCGAACTTATTTCTATTTTTYACTAAGGCCAAACTTGCAAATTATATAGCAAAATACACCTGTATTTTGCTTTTCTTACTTGAAAGAGATGGAAAGCAATCAACTGCCGAGCTTTAAGTTTACACTACTTATTTATGCTATTTACCAAAAATATTTATTCTGAATTTCGTTCTAGAAAAATAAGATTCAAAAAGTCAACCCATGGGAACAGAGTCAAACGACATTTGAACCAAAATTAAAGACTTGGAAAACACTGAAAACAAGATCAATGAGGTCAAAAAATGTAAATTTGTTCTCCGCTCTGATCAAGCAATTATAGAATATCGAACCCCTCTTAATCGATATTTTAGCCTTAAGTTTGCCTGTTTCTCTAAAATTACCCAGTTTGTCTGTTCAATTAAGTGCGTGGTCTAGTTTGACAATATATAAGTCATGCCACGTCATCCAAGACCACCTGATTCCTTTTTTAGCCAATCAGCACAGACGATTTTGTTGACACGGAACTTATCAACCTTTTACCACAGTTTCAGTAGAACATTGAGAAACGAATGACAACACAACTTATTTTGCTGAAATTTCTAAGGTCAGTCATTCCTTTTCGTTATATCTATTTTCTGACGTTTTCTTTTTTAAATATTATTTCTTTTCTATTGCGTGGTTTACATGTAGACTATTTACAGCAAAATTACTAAATATCTTCTCATTGAAATTTCGAGGAAATTTAAGAAAATTTTACATTTTTACAATCACCTTTTCAAGTAAAAAAAAACTACTTAACAAAATATGTTTTAATATTATAGTCGTACTTGTTAAACATATTTCATATTGTTCACGATGTTAGTTTAGTATTGCGAGCGTCATATTCTTTATAAACTAACTATTCTCAATTACCATGCATTCATTTTATAACAACAATGAGGATTGAGTCTAGAACTTATCGAAAACCATCGTATATAAATCGATCTCGCTTTTAATACCTGAATGGCTTATCGTTTGAGATTAGACAATTATCTTATCCTTTTAACTAAAATATTTAAAGGCAATTTTGCCTCTCCTTGGTGGCGATGTTGATTTCCCCCCTGGACTGTTAGAGAGTTTGTCAACAAGACGAAAAAACAAAAATTAAAAATTAAATTCAGTGAAAAATGGCAAGCGTGTAATTTATCCTGGTTCTGGTCTCGTGGTTAACGGCGCCTGACAAAATAGTTAACATTGCGTTTTCAGGAATAGTAGCCTTAAATCTACTAATTAAGAGTTATCTATATGAAGGCTTTTGGCTACGGTTCACATGCGGAAATTTATAAAGGTCATAGGAATAGAATTTGATGTCCCGTCATTTCTAATGGTATGCACTTGGACAGAAAATAAGTTTAAGCACTTCCATGCTTGTTGTCTAGATCTTTTGCGCAAATAGTCAATATTCCATTGTCGATTTGTAAACCGTGATTCCCATTCATACATTTCTTTTCTTTAAGTTATTTTTAATGACAGATGCAACGCAAAACCGAATCAATTGACCGTCTTAAAAGCGGGATAGATTAAGAAATAATAAGAATAAGAATTGTAAAAAATTAAAGGATGGATGCATTTATTAAGTTGTGAGAGTAAGACAGCATCTCATAAGATATTAAACAGTTTATATTCTTAAATGGTTTTACCCATTTTAYATGGTTAGACTTTATTATTTTAGCAAACATTTTAGCCTCCAATCTCATTTGAGCTCAGATTTAGCTATTRAAGTGTTTTATGAAATAACCTTACATTATCAAGTTTATGCGCATTTAAGAGAATTGTATTCATTTATAGCACTCAGGAACAGGGGCAATGTAAATGTGATGTAATTGCTTAGGAATAATGTAAGAGTTGTAGTGATAATTTGTGGTGATTATAATTTTCTTAGATGTATCGAATATCTTGAAATGTAAATTGATTCGTTTTTACTCGTTCCCCCCCCCAGCTTTTTAGAAATATTTTCTATTTAGAAAAAAAATTACGCCAAGTATACTTTGGACACGCTGTGACTTCAAATACCCACTTTGAAATATTTCCTTTAATGCTTTTTAGAAAAAAAAATTTGTTTCTTCTATTATTTTTGTTATATTGAATACGAACCAACCGCGAAATGATTTTTTTCGGTGTGTTCATCTTAAATGTTTAAGCTTGTTTACGAACTTGTACCCTGGGTTCCAGAAGGATTTTTCCGCGGATTTACTGAGTGCGGCGAAGCCTTGAGAGGCTTAAAAAACGTTTTGTTTTTTTTTTCGCCTCTCGCGACTTAGCCGCTCTCAGTAAATCCGCGAAAATCAATCCTTCTGGAGCCCAGTAACGAACTTGGAGCGTATACGGTTAAAGTATTATTATTGCCAGCCTTGCCATCTGCGAATGTGGAAAAAATGCACTAGGATCGAAATAATCCTATCCTGACTACTAGCCAGTCCTAGTTAAAGTATAATCTCTGATTTGAATGAATGAATGAATTCATTAAATCGATTCAATTTCAGAGCTCCCGACTTCCTTTTCAATTAGTTCCAATTTCCCTTAGATGATATTCGTCAAAGCTGAACAAACTGAAGATGGACTCTTCTGTTTTCTTTGGCAACCTGACACTTCAAGGAATTCAATTTCCATTAAACGCGTTAACTTTAGAACTCCCATAAACTGAAAATATTATAATGCCCGCTTTTTGGTATAAAGAGTGCAGAACTGTATCATTTTCAGTAGAATCTGGATCCCGCGAGGTAAAATTCAGATCAAAAAGTCTACAACATCAACCAAAATATAATGAAGGCTTGCTAATACCTTCCTAACTGATACCTTCAGTACCCATAAACATTGTTTTTCAAATAAAAACAGAGGGAACACACTTTTAATTTGTCGTTGTCCGCGGAGTGCTTTGTAGGCTTCGGCCGCAAAGAAAACTTTACTAAGATATGTAGATTTAAGCATTTTTTYCTATTGTTTTAATCTAATTTGTTTGTTCTTTATTATCAATATTTTTGCTCGCGGTGGCTAATATTTTTATAACCTTTGTATCTCGTCTTTTTATTTCTTTCGTTTTTTTATTAGGGATTTTATTCATTTTAGGTTGGAAATCTAGATGGGCTGATATCTGACGTGGTTCAATATTCAGCTGTTGTTGAAAGAAGTTCATTTAAAACAAACTCGGAAGCCAAAGCTGCATTTACGTCAATATTTCAGAGCACTTTCACTAAGGAAAGGACTACTGGTTTATGAGGTCAGCATTGAATGGAAGGCCAATAACGTTCAGAAGCTTTCAATTTCCGTTAATCAAGAACTCCACTAACCTTAGATTAAAAAAGTGAATAGGATATTACAGTGGACAAATAGGATGATCCAGTGAAAACGTGGTCACCAAAGAGATCGAATTTCCATTCTCATTAGTTGCTGTAGTTCAAGTAATTCACTAGACGAGCTTTTAAAACGCAGATGTAGAATGCTGAATCAGACGGGCCACAACCTCACCCACAAAGCCACACCAAGTTATGAAGATGAGAAGTTGTTTGACATCCCAGCCACTTGGATAATAATTTTGACCATAATAATGGTCATTGCTCAAATTTCAACACTCATTGGCAACGCTATAGTAATCATTGTCTTTGCAACAAGTGATGTTCTAAAATCATCTGTTAATAATCATTTTCTAGTGAGCTTGGCTGTTGCGGATCTTTTGGTAGGGATCCTTGTCATGCCTTGTGCAATAGATGCCCTCAGAGTGCAGACCTGGCGGTGCGGATCCTACAAATACTTTAACGCATTTGGAAACTTCTGTTTTTGCATCTCGTCAATCATGCACTTGATGATCTTATCAGTCGACAAGTATTTTGCAATAGCAAGGCCACTAAAATACCCTCAAGTCATAACTCAAGGAAGGGCATATATAGTTTGTATTGTACTATGGGTATACTCCGGTTTTTGGGCATTACTACCCTTAATAGGGGTCAGCTCCTACGAGTGTTTCATTCCCTATATAGGATTTTGCGCATCAAAAGACTGGTCAATGAAAGGATTAAACTTTGCATTTGCTATATCTGTGGTCAGTGGAACATACGGTKTGGCTTTGATAGTTATGTTTGTAATTTACTTTAAAATTGCAAGGATTATCCAACAACAAACGAAAAGAATAGGAATCGTTGTGACAGACAGAAATGACACCCAAGACGCCATTCAAAACACGCAAACTAGCAAACCCAATCTGATCAAACGCTACAGAGGTGTATTTACATTGATAACTCTGATCATAACCTATTTAATCTGCTGGTCGCCATTCTGTGTCATGTTGTTTATTGAGATCGGCATGGCAAGGAAGATGGAAGGGGCTGCATCGATGATTGGTATGCTCGTAGGTTTTATAAACAGTTGCTGTAATCCCATAATCTATTGGGCACWGTACAAAAGGTTTCGTAGAGCTGTCTCAAGACTCTTGCGAAAGGGATTATTATTTCTACCAGTGTCTATGGACAGTAATAATGTGCACTCGCTGTCCCATACACAGGGTGAAAATACAGGTAGATCTATCCAGGTAAACAGGATAGTAGCAGACAAACCGACAATCACAGATGTGAAGTACACCATTAATGCAATATATATAAATAACTAATGGAATTCAATTGTGGGAAATTTCGAATAGCCACTTCGTATAAGGCCAAAACATTTTTTAAACTTTCGAAATGAAACGCAATGCGTCCGTTCAGCCTGCAAAAAGAACAGTTTCTAACACAATCTTCATCAAACCTAAATATGTCCATCGATGGTTTCAAGTTGGCTTTTGAAGATAGGCGAGTTCCGAACGTTAAGTCAACTAAAATGGTATTCTTTAGTTAACGATAAAATCCTGACATAGATATTAATTTGTTAGTGGAAGAGCTCGGAAGGGGGGTGTCACACCTCCCAGGGTAGAACAGGTGATTTTTAAGAGAGAATCTTTTGGAAGAGCATATATACCAAGTGAAATATCCATGAATTTACTGAACGTTGTCATTCAGTTATATCACATTAAACAAAATTAATAATGATTTTATTTTTTGGTTGGTGTTTGGTTGTTTTTTCTTTAAAAGTATACTTCAGTTCTTCCTCTGCATGATGCTATTCTCTCTCCGGTGTTGGCTTCGTCGGAAAATCAAACCCCAATCTTGAATGCCTGATAATAATAGGACTATTAATTTTAGTATAAATTGATGGTTTTCAACCATTCCCAAGAGAATTAAGTAACAAAAGACACGGCGGCCATGTTGGATGAATTCTTTTGTTAAAGCCCTCCAACATGGCCGCCGTGAAAACCATCAACAGGGGATCAAAGAAGGGAAATGCAGGAAACTTAACTTCTTGATGATTTGCTATCATTTCTAAGAGAGACATAATACAAAGACATGGTTTCGGGCATGTTGGTGGTATTATCGAAGGGCCTTTGGAGAAATACCGCCAACATGGCCGCGACGAAGGTTTTATAAACTATCTATTGATCAGTTATCTTCGATTACCTGTAATGTATGAGTCCCTGTTTAGTAGGGTCTAGTTGTGATAAAAGTCGAGTTATTTCATCCATCTCGAACTTTAATCCAGTCTTCTATAAAGAGTTAAGTGGATGGTGTGTGATATACCTTGAATGAGAGAATATGCTGACGTCTGTGTGCATATTGGATATACCAAACCAAACCAATACAAGTACACGGACGACATGCATGCAATAACAATGATACAGCRGCTGCAACAACAGCAACATCAACAACATTTGAAACACTAGCAAACCCATTCATCATCTTTATCACTTTCACAACTCCTCCTCCTTCTCCATTATCATTATCCTCTTCCTCCTCCTCCTCTTCATTATCATTATCATCATCGACATCATCCTCATCATCAACAACAGCAACATCAATATCATCATCATAAACATCCTCATTATCAACAACAGCAACATCATCATCATCATCATCATCATCATCGTCATCATCATCAACGAAATAACAAAAACAACAAAAATGATCACGAGAATAAGCCGAAACGTTACTAGGATGTGTAACAAAATAACTTCTGGTTGAATAAGACTAGACTGCTTCCCCCTAAGAGAATGCCAAGTTTTGAAGCTGATAAGTACCATTAATTTACCTTTATCACATCGGCAAAGCTCCTTCGTGTAACAAAGTTAGTGCTCTCATTGTCGTAATTCTTGCATATTTCAAACCATTTATTCTTGTTTTCTGTTATGAAAGTCCTAAGGGTTTTTAATGGATCTCTGCCTCCTGCTCGAGGAGATGGAAACACTTTAAACTCGGGTTTTACTTTTTTGACTTCGTGAAGAAGAGAAGTGAATTGCATATCCAGGTAAATATCCTAGGAAGAAGGAAGGGGTAAAGTGGATTCTTTGAGTGAGGTCTTTATTAAATTCAAAATATTTAAAGGTTTATTACATATGAAGTTTCGCCGACTATGTAGGTTTTGTACCACCACGTGATGGCAGCCATGACAGGAGGCAGGAACAATTGAATTTGGTCTAGTCTGATTTACATGAAAAAGGATTAACTTACCCAGAGAAAAATGCGCTATTGTTGTGCCTTCRGTCATGGCTGCCATCACGTGATGGTGCAAAGCCGCTATACAAACAAACGACTGAACGAAGGTGCTGCACAAAGGCAGTGGAAGGACGTACCTTACAATGTAATGTAGTTAGTGCACTGTCACAATACGAAAGAGTCGCACTGATAATAGCTAGTAAACCATCGGTTCTGATAGGATTGCATCCAATCTAAAAACATACAAGATACTGGTAAAAACTGGGCCTGCAATAGGGGAAGGATTTTTCAAGTCTTTATTCTCATTATCATTGCACTTGAAACTTGAGCCAATTATTAGCCTTTGCAAGGTTAAAGAAAAAGCTGGCTTGAGTTAGCATTGCAGGACATTCTAGAGCTGTTTTAGGGGACAAGTTTCTTAGATGCCGTCTATTTCGTCTCCTAAAATTGTCTCACAGTACACTGAAATGTGAATTCGAACCAGTCTTTTCCTCGACCTTGGAATGGCTGATATTCAATGATAGACCCTTCCCGAATTCGCTTGAGTGACAATGAAACAATGGTTCCAATTCGAGGTTGAACTTGATAAATACTGTTAAGGTATGAAGGCCACATCAACTCCAAACTTGGAACTATGTTTCGTTATGCACTCAACGCAAGGTACATTAGATACAAACTGGATGAAGTTTATTCTGCTGCTCAATCACGGTAAATTTAGTTATAATTACTTGTTCAGTAATCTTTCAATGAGACGATGCTATATTTTTTGATATACAAAGTTCTTAAAATAAGGAAAAAAATGTAGCAAGAAACGTTTAAAAATATGGAAATCATAGAAGAAAAAAAAACTCCCTTGATTTTGATAGACGCCATACAACATGGCTATCTCACTTGCGCTATTCAATTCCTTAGAAATTGTTACRAAAAATATTATATGTTTAAAATTGGATAACGAATCGAGAAAAACGCCAATTTGACCAAATTATCACAAAAAGGCTCCATTTTTTACRTTGTAAACGTACTTCTGATATTGACACAAATTAAGCATTAATATACCAAGTGAAGAATARGTTTACTCGAGCTATAAGCAATTGTTTACCACAATCAACACTTAACTATGTTAGTTTGTTAAACATCGAGTATTAAACCGCCGTTTGTTACACGAAGTCAATAGTGCATGGTATCCATGTAAAGGGATTGAGGTAATGAAAACACCTTGCTAAAGGAAAACCGCAGCTTAATAATCTTAAATTAAAGATATTTCAAAGATATGTAATCCTTATCGCCCGAAAAACAATACAATGACTTTATTTCAAAAGGGAAAGATAATAACCATTTACGGTTTTTGAATTACATACGGCCCTCAACAACTGAAAAAAGTATAGAGGATATTACATGGGCGCGCGGAGATACGAATTTTATCTTCGAGTGTTCAATTGATATCTCACGAGTGGGCGCAGCGAACGAGTGAGATATCTAAATTGAACACGAGAAGATAAAATTCGTATCTCCAAGCAGCCATGTAATGTTCTGTTTATCATATAGATATCGATGAAACTTAAATAAAACAAAAGCTCGAAAATTCTTTATTAAAATACGTTATTATGTCAACAGCGATATCTTCACGTGTGAAAGATATGGTATCTTCCACTGGTGTAAGATATCAAGTATTCGACACTAGAGAAAACCTGGTATTTCATCGATATCTAAATAATAAATAATAATGATAATAATAATAACTTGAATAAGTGTGAATTACTACCAATATTGGCATGAATTCGAAATTAGTTTTCAGTTTAGTTGGAACAATTTGAATTGTGAGTTTCTTGTCGAGTTTCTTAGCATTGGCGTAAATACCAGGAACACTCAAATCTTTTAAGTGCGAAACTACGTGTTGCAACGAAATAGCAAAACGGCCTAAAAATTGGTTCATTGCATAAGATTAAAATCACGAAGGCGAGCAAGAAAGAAAGAAGAATAGMAAGAAATTAATGAAGGAAATATAAAAGAAACAAGATTTCTATAATGAAGGCTTCTAAACTTCAAAAGCTATACTGCGGAATTGAGTCAATTGATATGAACTTAAAATTTTGCTGAAAGTCTATTTTTTTAACTTGTGCTTATATAAACAAATGCGCGCATTCACTGCTGATTACAGTTGTAATCAAATTCTGAAACACTTTGTTAAGCCCCGGTTTACACTATATACGCGATTTTTGCTGCGATTTTTTTTGCGAATTTGTCCATAATAAATAATGCTAAAAAATTTACTTGTGAAGTATTTTTCAGGATACCAAGATTTTCCTAAACGAATGTCTTTTTTGAAGGGTGAGACAAAAGATTTCATATTTCCGAAAATTGCCACGAAAATCGCAGCAAAAATCGCCGCAATAATCGCCAGTGTAAACGGGGCTTTAAGGGGGGTTTATGACGCTTTGGAGCACCAGTAGAATATCCAAGTAGAATATGCAGCAGATGAAATGTAAGGTTTGTCAAACCTGTGATGAGGATTGGGTCGACAAAGTAATACTGTATTCAGTAACAACGTAAAAGGAAAGCAAACTAGAAAACAAATATRCGATAGAAAAATAAATTCCAACAAATTAAATWAAAWAAAAAWAACACTCGRAYTTACATAGTAAGAGATTTTAATTAACCAATCATTAGCATCCCCCCACGTTATTATGTAGAGATAAAGAAACCTCGGACTTAGAAGACTMTGCTGTAAATCTATGTAATTTTGCGCGTACGCGTTTCATAAATGTTTACCTTTAGTGTTTCCAAAGTGTTGTTACCTTCTAGTCCTTTAGCRAGACACAGAGCCCCTTGATTGGTTATTCTGTTGTTGCTACAGCAGCGTAAAAGTCGAAGTGAGTAAACGAGGAAACATGCATAGTTGCTTAATTAACTGTGRAAACATTCGTTTCCTTGTTTGCTCACATGTAAGACGAAACATTTGTAACTTGTATGTTTCGGAAATTAACTTACAGGAAAGCAACGTTTCGTTTCTAAAGAAAAAAACAGACAATGTTTGTGCAATCAAAAGCGTTCTGACACCATTTATATGATGTCATTCAAAAATGAGACGTGCAGTCAGTATGATTACGTGCAATCGATTGTGTATACATGTTAGTGGGGACTGTTGGTGGTAGTTAACTCACAAAACACTCTTTCACTCTTTTCGTTCAAAGCGGRCGATCACCCAACACACGTTTCTTGAATGCGTGATTACTGAATAGAAGAATTCAAACTGCTTCAAACAGAGCGTTCAAATAGGTTCCTTCATATTTCCAGGCGCCATCTTGAAAGGTAGCCGTGTCTTTGCATCGAAGAAAGACGAACGATGAGCTTGCARTGATAARGACATGTGAATAATTGYCCAAGGTGTTAAGAATAGGTCTCTATCAGCGCAAGGTCACTGTTCGTCTCGCTTCGATACAAAGGCGCAGCAATGACAGCAGCACGGCTACCTTTCAAGATGGCGCAGGGGACTATGAAAGGAACTGTTATATTAATCTCAGTCACCTTATATCAAGCTCTGTAAGAGTGTTGTTGTATTTGAGTGCCTCACCAAGAGCAGCAGCTCCTTCATCAGCAAACCCATTGAATGATAAATTAAGTGTTTTAATGGTGCAATTGGTCTACAAAACACAAACGACACAAGACCTTGAATTACTCCCCACTCATCCCTAAAAGCAAGGAAAGCATCAGCCAAAGAATTCTTYYAGGCCYCGTCCACACTATGCCGGATAAATTTGAATCCGAATTTTTATTTATTCGGTTAGGCCTACCGTCCACACTAGTTCGGGCGAATCCGGAACAATTCTTCACCGAAAACGAATTTTCGAAATGGAACCGAATAAATAAAAATTCGGATTCAAATTTATYCGGCATAGTGTGGACGGGCCCTTAAAAGATAACGACAAAGCCAGAAACTTGGATTTTCAGTTTCCGATCGCGCGAGACAAAAGTGTTTGATCAAACCAAGAGACATAAAGCACAATTTCGCTTATAAACTAGGAAATGATTTAGGACGACGGGATGATAAATGGATTTATGAAATAGYTGTTATAAATCTTGCGTTCTGATTGGTTGTAAGCGCGTGCATTATGAGAGTACAGAGCATCACTGACGCGCACATTTTACTTCGTCACTCATTATATTCAATGGTTATTGTAATTCGTATTTTATGAAAATAAAATGATTGCTGTGCTGGGGGATTGACACAGAACACTTGAAAAGTCGTGCTTCTTCTAACACTTCTCTCGTGTTCTGCCAGTCCCTGCGTGCTTTATGACYGCACACAGCACGCGAACGCGATATTAAACCTACCCTTAAGCCATTAGCTATTTCATTTGCAACTTTTTTTCGTAATAGATTCCAACTAAGATCAAGATGCTCAACAGAATCGTTTGACACTGCAATACAATACCAAACACAGCAAAGCTCATTAAAATATGTAACATTGAAACAAGTCAAAAATGTTGCTTTTGAAAAGATAAGATATATTATCTCAATGTCTGGCACTGAATTGATGTAATTGCTCATGCAATGCGCAATTTTCATGTTTCAAGATGACATTTTCACTACTGTTTTAATATCCCAAAAACGGATTTCTTTTCAGTGTTCTAGTTCTATCAAGTATTTTATGAAGTTTCGTTGAACAATTTGAGAGGGGGGAGGGGGGGGGATATTGATGATCAAAAACAATCCTATTTTTAAAACATTTTTCTTTGCGTCGCTTAAATCATAATAATGTGTCGATGTTACGTTTATATATAACTAACGCACTTAGCAACACAAAGTTTATGCTGCGCTAAAGGATGTAGATGTTAACAAAGGCTCTTAACAAGGTCAATCAAAGTGAAAAAACTTACTTATTGCTTGACCAAAGTTTGCGCCAGAGTTCTCAGAAAAACGATTATTACTCAAATCCAACCAAGCCACTTTGTCATTGCCCTATAAGAATAACAGTTACACAAAAATTAGCCATACTAACCTCGTGTTAATTGCTGTTTTGTTATTACGGTGCTGCTCGCATTTTTTGAGTTTAGGGGAGAAGCAAATGGCACGCCATTGTAGCCAGCCTCCAACTAGATGGGTAAGCTCAAGATAGAGTTAGAATTCAAAAGTAGATTTTTCTTGAGGAGGTAGAAAAACCGGAGAGTCCAGGGCAAAACCTTGTAAGCACCGGAGAGAACCAAACAACAATCCACTCACATACGACACCGAGCCAGGGATTCGAATTTTCGATACATTGAGGTAGGGCACGACTTTCTTGGCCTGAATCTCTTCCCATAAATGTTGACTATGTTCTTCATCTTACGGCGGCCTATGAGGGACATGCAGCAAGTTAGACAAGTTGCTGCAAATAAGAAACGAGTTGCTGCGTGTTAGACGAGTTGCTGCAAATATAATCTGTAATTATGAGAAATGTTTCGAACAGCAGCACGAAGTAATTTGTTCGTATTCCGTGCCGAGAAAAGATAAACGTGTCTAATATGCAGCAACTCGTTTCTTGTTGCAGCAACTCGTCTATCTTGCAGCATATGTCCTTTATGAGCCATCGGTATCATCTTACCCGCATGGCTTCTGCAATATTTTTACTATCTTTGTCAGTAAAGCCGTTGTTTGCTAAGTTAATCTTCAGCAAGCTGGTGTTAGTCTGAAGCATCTCACATATTGCTTGACATCCTTGTGATCTAAGACCATTAGACGAAATATTCTAAATAAAGGGAAAGAAAATCAATCAATCAATCAATCAATCAATCAATCAATCAATCAATCAATCAATCAATCAATGTCTACAACAGTTATGAGCCATTCGCTCTCTAATAATTGGTAAGAAAAGTAAATCTCGCAGAATTTTTTCAATAAATTATTAGATTCTTTAACTGAAAAGATTTCGTTGAACGCACGCGCGCTCTGATTGGCCAAAAACGGGTTGCCTTTTTTTTCCTTCGATTAGCAATCAATATTATCACGACTTTCTTGTCCTTTATGATGGACTTGCTTGTTATAAATAAGATCACTTTTTTCTTCTTTACACTGAGAAGTAAGAGTAAAAGTAGCTTTTAAGATACTCGGGTAATTCGGCCAATCCGAGATTGACTCGAAAAAAACTGGGTTGAGTTGGCTTTGCAGTGCATTGTGGGGCTATAGGGGACATATTTTCAAGCAGCACGTCGGAATGCAGCTCAATTTGGAGGAAATAACAATAGGTTTCCAATTCTCATGAGATTGAAATTCTTYTGTTTTATCCTCCAAATTGAGCTTCTTTGATGTCACATGCCGAGGGGGTAATCCGTAATCCCTAAAACAGTCCCACCATAGTGCAGTACAAACGCAACCCAGTTTTTATCTCAGTCAACCGCGGCTGTCTAATTGCACTCACCAAATCAGTCAAATAACAGTTTTCTCTGAGCATATCTGAAATATAGATCCCACCGTCGGCTYCTAAGGCATTATCATGTAGATCTAAACTTGTGATTGATGTGTTGAGCTATAGGAAGGGAAGACAATGGAAATATAAAAAAAAGTAATACCTTGCCTGGCATATATAGCTTGTGTTTTTCATCTGCATATCGTACAACGTTAACATTCTTATTCTACGTTGTCMTTCTTATTCTACGTTCTTTCTCAGTTGCTGCTCCGCTCCTCTGGAACTCTCTACCTTCTTCAATTAGAGACATTTCCAGTTTATCTTTATTCAAATCTAAACTCAAGGCTCATTTGTTTCAATTAGCTTTTTCTTTATAATCATATTGTCTATCTTATTTATTTATTTATTCCTTTAACGTTATGTTACTAAGCGCTTAGAGCAGACTTCTATAAGCGCTACATAAGCCATATATATATTATTATTATATTATCATATTCTTAGTATCATTTCCAGAAAAAAAATATCAGAGCTAAACTTCTACGTCATAGGCGCAAACGTCCCTTAAACAAATCTAGGTGCTAATTAGCTGCAGGTGACTGGCAAAGTATTTGGTAAGACAAGAACAGGTTAAACTATGCTTTTTTAAGAGCAAAAACATAAGATTCTGTTGATAACTGTAGTCAAGTATCTTTAAAATAAAAGAGAAATAAAACGGGGGAAAATGAAATAAGAGCGTGAGTAGGTATAAGTTTCAGGTCACCCATCCGGGTAATAACCTCCCTCATCGGGCTTGACTCAATATTTTGGGA